GAAAACAGAGGCACAGAGAAGGGAACTGGACATGGCTGCATCACACAGGCTGGTGATAACGGAGCAGGGGTTCAAATAGTACTTTTAGTTTCTGGTACAAAATGATATCCCTTAAAAAAGGAGTCATCTGTGGCCAGTATATCACATTCCGTAATCAGAGGAGTGCTGTTTAGGTGCAGTTATTTTTCTCTTAATACTATTATTATTATTTTTTTTATTTTTGGCCGCACTGGGCAGCTTGTGGGATCTTAGTTCCCCGACCGGGGATCAAACACGGGCCCCCTGTAGTGGAAGCGCAGAGTTCTAACCACTGGACCACCGGGAATTCCCAATTTTTTTTTCTCTCTTTTGAAAATCTGATTTCGATCTGATTTGGGCAGAAGTTCCCCAGTTTACCACAGACCCCATCATTCCCTATTGCATTATACCTGGTCAAATTCACACAATTCTGCTGCCCACCTGGCTCCTGGCTTTCACTCAGCATTCATTCAACATACATCTGTTGAGCATCTAATAGGTGCCAGGTACTGTTCCAGGTACTGGGAAAACCCAGAAGTGACCAAGATGGAAGACAAGCACCCCCCGCCCCCCAATAGCTCTTGGGTTCCAGCGGCATTTGGTTCACAGCCCCTGCCTCCTTCTGCATCCCTTAGCATCCCCAGTTTGGTCTGGCTTTACCACCATCGGGGGTGTAAGAGGTTAAGGTGGGATAGAATCATGGAAAAACCCTAAACTTGTCTTACGTTCCAGGGTTAATGGCTCAGACCATACACTTCTGTAAGGTTCTTACTTTACCCTCGGTTCCCGTCCTTATAACTTGGGACTGTACTCTTCACCCTACTTATCCTCCTAGGGTTGTGTAAAAGTATGTGGGTCGTTGTAGACAGCAGTGGGCTCTAAACAGGGCATGGTTGTGACCTTGAGGGACGCTGAGCTTCTCACCTGTTCAGGAAGTGGCTCTGCTCTGAGGCAGGGCACTGGCCTAGTGGCTTCAAGCCTCTCTCCATTCAGGGAAGGGTGAGAATTTCTAGGGGAGTCGAGGGCACCCCCTGGCACCCACCGCCCGTCTGTGATAAGAACAACCAGGTGCTTCTTTTTCACCTCCATCTGGGGCCACCAGGCTGAGGAAGCGGTGAGAGGAACCAAGAGAGGGTAGAGGGGGAGGGGAGACGCCTCGGTTGGGGAAATCCAGCCACCTGTATTGGGGGCTCAAGCCCAGGCTGTCCTCAGAACCCAGTCCTTGCCCCTCGGTGGGAGTTCCTCATACCTTCCAAGCTGTCAACAAAGCCAGCATCTTCCTTCTCTAGAAAGAGTCTGACCTACAGCATGAAGAACCAAGGTTAGCTCCAGGGAGGGACTTCCTGGTACAAGGGGTGTGGCTGAGGCTCAGGATGGAAGCTTATGGAAGCAGGGAGAGCGCTCCAGCATGGCTTTGGTGGAGTCTGCCCTGGAGTTAGGTGGGATGGAGGCACATCTCAAGAAGGTTTGCTATGTGTTGCTTGGAAAGAGTCATCATGATTTCATTTTTCCAGCTCTTCTCAAGGAAATAGACTTAGAGGTGCAAACTCTCCTGAGTGCAGTTATTTACTGCATGGGTTTCACCAAGATCATTTCAGCTCTGATGCTCACAGGTGTGTGGCAGTACTTAAAGGTAATGGAAACATTGGCCGGAACCTCTGCTTCCCCACGTTTCCCCAACCTGGAGGAATACATGATCAAAATTTTTACTTCATACACCAATGTAAAATCGAGGGAACGGCAACCTTGGATTAATTGCACACTAGAGACTATCAGTGATTGAGAACCTCAAGCACTTTTCAAGGAGTATCTCCTTAATTCTTGAAATAATGGGTAATATGTATCTCTATACCATTACCATGTGCCAGCTACCATACAAGTACTATTATCCCCATTTTATAGCTGTAGAAACAGAGACACAGAGAAGTTAAGTAAATTGCCCAGGATTGCACAGCATACGGGACAGAGCCAGGACTCAAATCCAGGCAGCCTGGGCCCAGAGTCCAAATTCAAACCACCATGCTCTAAGCTCCTGGCCTACCCTGAGAGGTGGGGATTATGATTATCCCCAACACAGAGAAGAGGAAACCAACCAAATTGCTCCATCACTCACGAGCATCAGCAAGAATGTCTTTTATAGGGCTTCTCTGGTGGCACAGTGGTTGAGAGTCCGCCTGCTGATGCAGGGGACGCAGGTTCGTGCCCCACTCCGGGAAGATCCCACATGCCACGGAGCGGCTGGGCCTGCGCGTCCAGAGCCTGTGCTCTGCAACGGGAGAGGCCACAACAGTGAGAGGCCCGCGTACTGCAAAAAAAAAAAAGAATGTCTTTTATAACTGCCCTGAACACATTCAGGATTCAACAAACAGTGACAGCCTGAAACTTTTGTGTCTGTAGCATTCTTTGGCAAGAACACTTAATCCTCACACTTCCACAGAGGTAAGCAGGGTGGGGGTCTGATCCTTCGTGATTGCCAGCCTGAAGGGGTCTGGGATGTGAAGCCAGGGCATCTCCACACCTGGGCTACAGCTACCTTGGCTGCAGCTCTGAGGCTGTGTGATCCTCTAAGTCGGGGTGTGGCAGACAGGCAGGCACTGAATGCTGGCTGTCATCTGACAGGCCCGTGGACTGTTAGGGCTGGAAGGGACCTTGGTGACCATCGAGTGATGAGATTAGTCAGCCTGGCTGGGATGCCAGGCTCTTAACCTGGACAGCCTCTAGCCTCCTTTGATTAGCAGAGCAACATGGCCTGAGGCTCCCTTGCTCCAGTTCCCCGCCTCTCAATTAAAAACTGACCACAAGTATGTGCTCCCTTGTTTTGAGAGTCTGTGCTTCAGGGAAGGAGGAATTTCATGTTGGATCCTCTGGAAGTTGAAATTTCTGCCCTCCAGGTTTGCATGCTCTGTCGAGCTGTGGTTAACCAACCTGGAGCTTCTGATTCCACTAGCCTGTAGAGTGTCCCCCGGGGTCAGCTCAGGAGGAAGGGCGGCATCAGACCCACCAGCTGGTGACCTCGAGCAAGTCGCAGAGGCCCTCAGAGCCTCCCTCCCTTCCCTGACCCCTGGGTGGGTGAGCCTGAGGATTCACCGAGATAAAGGCGAGAGGCTGCTTTGTAAACTGTAAAATGGAAGACCCATGTGATCAGTGCTTGCTTGTAGAAAGGACCAGTTTATCTTAGGGCAGCTCCTTAGCCTCCACATGCTGTCATCTTTCCCTTCCCTGTTGACCACAGTACAGATGCCTGGATCATTTAATGCAACAGATCTTCCCTGAGCCCATAGTCAGGTGCTCCGTGGTGCTCGGTATTGGGAGGTCCATCCCAAGAGAAGGAAAAAACCAAGGTCTATCCGTGACCCTGTGTCCTGAGAGCCAGAGTCAGGGAAAGATAGAATATGCCCCAGACAATGCAGTTTCCAGCAGGAGGGTTTCTGTTCACTTTTGCTCTTAACATACACACAGAGAAGGGACATTTGTGATGAATTTTCACAAGGTAGACACACCTGTGTAACCACTACCTTGCTCAAGAAACAACATGGAACTCCCCCGGGGCCCCTTCCCAGTCTCTACCACTCCCCCCTCTGACTTCTGGCACCACAGGCTGGTTTTGCCTGTTTTTGAACGCTCAATGAATGGAATCACCCAGGCCTTCTTTCGCTCAGTGAGAAAGAAGTGTGTGTGAGATGCGTCCTGCTGATGTCAGTGGCTGTAGCTGGTTACTTCTCGCTGATGTACGTGGACTCCCACGCTCGATCACACCCGATCTGTCTGATGGTGGGCCTTGGGGTCGTTGCCAGTTTTTGGTGCACTGTGAAAGTTCCAGTCCGTGTCTCTGGGTGAGCTTATGTGTACTTTCTTTGGGGTATAGACCTGGGTGGAATAACTGGGTTGTAAGGTGTGGCTGGGTTAGCTGTAGTAGATGCCGGCAGGAAGGATTTGAGTAAGTAGTTAAGCAGCACTTCCAGACCCTGAAGACTGTGGTCGACTAGCTCATGCTCCCAGAGGAGGGGGCCGTGAAAGCTCTGGAGAACAACAGGAAGAGGCTGGATTAGGCATCCCTTGGAGGCTGGGGGGCAGTCCTTGGCCCCTTTCTGTCTGGTTTTGGTCCCGTCTCCTTGGTCTGTCTGGGGTTTCCAGTCTGTACTCCCAAGGAGGTGTCCAGGGCCACTTGGGAGAGATGGGTAGGGGGGCTTTAAGCTTCATTTCCCTGCATCAGCCACAGCTCCCTGTGTCCTCTGTTTTACATAGGGGTTCTGAGAATGACTTCATGTGCTTTTTTTTTTTTTAAAGCTTTCGCTGTTTCAACATTTGAAAATCCACCGCTGTGAGGTCCCTTCCAGCTGGGAAGTTCTATTTTGGGAGCTGGAGGTGGGTGTGGGAAGGGTTAAGCATTATTCAGCCAAAGAGCAGGGTTGGGCCTCAGTGACCTTTTAAAGTTCTTATAGCTCGGCTTGCAATGCGGGCGATCTCAGAACATTCTATAAAAATAGCGCTCAAACAAAACAACTTCTGAAGCCTAAAGGATGTGGAAAAGAGGCTAGATGTGGAGGAACGTTTAGGTGGCAGTTCAAGAGGAGTCTTGAGAACTCTCTCCTTCAGGCACCCCTCTCCATTTTTTTCCCCTTCCTTTTTAACTCTCCATCGGCTGTTCCTGGTAGCTGTCACTTGGGGTTGTTTGGGTTCAGAACGGTTCTCATTTTTGCCCAGGAGCGGGTGACGCAGGTGGCCTGTACGTCTCTCCCAAGGGTGGTGGCCTTCCCTCCTCCAACACCATCCCTAGTTTGGACCTGTAGTTTCGCTTGGTGAGGGAGGCCGGGCCGTTCCCGGGCCCAGAGAGGAACGTCTCTGCCTTGGCATGCAGCTCTGAGTCAACAGGCCTGATAAACGGCCCACTTCCCAGGGCCAGCAAGGAACAAAGCCCTGACTGCTGCTGCGGGATCCGTCTGCCCCCCTCTTCCTGAAACAGCTGTTTATTCTTTTGACAGGAGTTGGAACGGAGCACCTTCCTTTCCTCCCAGCCCGGCCTCCTTCTGCAGAACGGAGCTCAATAGAACTTTGTTGTTTTGCCTTTTACTCTGGGGGGAGAGAAGCAGACGATGAGGTACGTGACATGTTGAAATGATTTACCTCTGCCTTGTCGGGGTCACTGGGGGTTTTGTGAGCCGGCTGCGGCGTGCATGCCCCTGGGGGAGGAACCCCGCTCTCCCCCTAACTGCTTGCTGGTCCCCTCGGTAGTTCTAGAAGAAGACAGAGTCCTCCTCTCCCCGGCGTCGGATCAAGAAGTGGGTGCTGGTGGGATGCTGGTCCAGTCCCTGTTAGTTTGCTGCCCCTGGCAGGACCTCACAGGGCGTGGCTGCAGCCTGGGGCTTTCTGTGCAGGACTCAAAGTGCCACTGCAGGGGCAGGAGGGCGAGTCTTGGGGCCCAGGACCTGTGCGGCGGGTGGATGCAGAGCCCTCTCAGGGCAGCGCCGACCCTTCATTTACCTCCCCTTCTTTCTCTTGGAAAAACTCTTGCACACTGATTTCTGGGCCAGGCAGCAAGGAAAAGCTGGCTGGATCCAGGCTTCAGATTTCCTGAAGGGGATTCAAGAAAGGGCACTAAAGACATCCCTCCGAGAACACATTGTTTCATCTGATGGCTGGAGCGACAGCTAGTTGTATATTTAGTCTGAAGCTTGTCTCTTATTTTCTTCCGTCTGTGTTTACTTTGACCCTTGTAATGAAAAACATAACTGGAAACAACCCTCCATGCACTTTTTTTCCCCCACGAATTATAACATGTTTCTCCCAACAGGGAGCGTTTCCCCGTAATGCCCACCAATTTAGAGAGGTTTTAGGATAAAGCAGCACCCCCTCACCTCACCCCCAGCACCAACCCCCTGCCAAGAGCTGGGCCTGGGAGGCAGAGGGTCTGCTTTTCAAACACACCACCCACCTTGTGGGTGAGCCCAGTGATCTCAGCCTTTGCTAAAGCTCAGTTTCCTCAGCTAAAAGCTGCTGCGCTGACCAGGATGAGGGATGAACAGGATGGAGTGAGTGCGGAAGGCTCCCACACCAGGCACACAGGAGGCACCTGGAAATGGCAGAGGAGTTGAGCCAATGCTCACCAGCTGGTCCAAGGAGAAGCTAGCCCCTCAGTGAGTCTAGCCTGTGATTAGCTGGCTTTGGGTCAATTGCTAAGTGGTAATCATGAAAGGCAAAATGAGAGGATGTTGCAAAGAGACATGGGTGGTTAGTCCATGGGTAAGCCTGCATGTTTACTGAGAAAAGAGTTAAAAGGGTGGGCACTGGAGGCCAACTCTCTGGACCTGAATCCTGGCTCCACCACTTTATGCCGTGTGGCATTGGGCAAGTCACTTAACCTTTCTGAGCCTCCATTTTCATATCTGTAAAATGAGGATGATACTAGAATGACTTCACAAGGTTGTTGTGAGGCTTACCTGAGAGATTACTGGTAAAGCATTTAGCCTGGGGCCTGGCCTGGTTCAGTTGGGGGGCATCCAAGTGTTGCAGGGCCAGAAGCTTATTCAATTTTCAGGGTCCGTTTTAAGAAAAAGAATGCAAAGTTGCAAGTATAATATTAGCGTGGAAGTGAATGCAGTCGTCCCTCGGTATCCACAGGGGATTGGTTCCAGGATCTCACAGATACCAAAATCTGCAGATGCTCAAGTCCCTTACATAAAATGGCACAGTATTTGCATAGAACCTACACACATCCTCCTGTTACTTTAAATCACCTGGAGATCACTTACAATACCGAGTATGATGTAAATGCTATGTAAATAGTTGCATGTACGCAGCAAATTCAAGTTTTGCTTTTTGGAACTTTCTGGAATTTTTTGTTTTTTAACATTTTCCATCCGTGGTTAGTTGAATCCGTGGATGTGAAACTCATGGTTATGGAAAACTATTTAGAATGTGAGGAGACATCCCAACAAATAACAAAAATCGACAGATACTCTACATAGGACAAAATCCAGAAAACATCCTAATAAAATGTGAAAGTAATATAAAAAATGATCAGTATTACTCAGCTGTCTGATGCACCTGTCATATTTTGGCTGCATACTCCTGGATTGCCTCTTTGCTGATTTTGTAGTATCATTTTTAATAGAGACAAAAGGAAGACAAATCAGTTTTGCCTCTAGCATGGTTAGTCAGTGGTTGCTTTTTATAACTGCGAGTTTAGAAGTTTCTTTCAGCTTTACAACTTGTTATCGGTGATGCCACGGCTGTGAATCTTTTGGCAGTTTCCTGCTCAGGTGGCTCCAGCCAGATCTCTGAAGAACTCAGCTCTTCGATCCTGGATGGCGGGAAGGGGGTGTGGGTACCAGGTGGCTGTGAGGTCTGGATCACTGGGACCCCTGAGCAGGGAGCAGAGTAGCAGCTAGTTCAGCTCCTTCTCTTGTGGATCAAAGTAGGGGGCTCCTGGGAGCTCAGCAAGGCCTAGCTGGGGCAGGTTGTTACTGGGACCCAGGTAGGTCTGCAGGGAGTGGGGTCAGTATTCAGGCCCCACCTGCAGCCCTGGGACAGGCACCCAGGCTGGAGTGATTCCCCCAGGCAGGAGCAGTGCCTCGCCTCGGGGCAGCATTTGGGCCTTCCCCACTCTCCACCCCAGTGGGAGAGCAGGCCCAGTCTTGCCGGGGGTGCTGACTCAGAGGTTTCATAAGCTTCTGGATCAGTTGGCCTGTGGGCTCAACATGAGTTGGTTGGCCGTCCTTTCTCTTGATCTTCACTTCCAGGAATCCGTGGGCCACTGCAGCAAGACGAGCTCCATGTGGCTGAGTGAACTTGTCCTCATCAAATGAGACTTACAGCCCTGTGGCTGATTTCTCATCCAGGTCCTAGATCAGTCAGGAAAGCCTGTCATGGAAAGTTAAGTCCACAGGACTTGTTTCAAGGCTGGGGAGACTGAGGCCAGAGGAACCCGTGACCCTGGTTCCCAAAGCCGCTCTGTGTGGGAGCTGGCGTGACGTTTGAGCCGCCGCTTCCTTCCCTAACCATGGTGAGCCACGGGGGCAAAGGCCATGCGCAGCGGGACCCCGAACTGGGGGCGGTGGGGAGCCGAGCTGACTGTCACAGCAGTCACAGCATGGCGTGGAGGGCTCTCCCTTGACTCTTCTGTGTGGTGCTGCCCTGGAGGGCCAAGTCTCCTCTCAGAGGGAACCACAGCTCTGCCCTCAGAGCCACGCATTTCTGAATCTCTCCCCTGAGAAAGCATCATCCTTGTTTCCACTGCCATTGGTGGAGCATTTACTGACCACCAGGCACAATGTGCTGTGTAAACATGTCTCCTTTTGTCCTTTCAAGAACCCTAGAGGAGGGTGTTTGAAGTTCCATTTTGTCTATGTAAATAGAGGCTCAGAGCCAGAGAACTTGCCCCGGGTTGTTCATATAGGGCTGCACATTCTTAGCGGAGTTTTGTGCAGGGTGACTAATACCCAGTTAGCTCCTGAGCCCTCTCCCCACCCCCTTAGCTGCTTTGTTTTGTTTGCAACACTTGTGGGCTCCAGGGGCCGGGGAAGAATCACGGGGAGAGAGGAAGATTCTTCAGCCTGCAGGAAGGTTTGGTTTCCTCTGCCGCTGCTGTTCCCATTCTCTCCCAAGATAATGGCTTTTCCAGGGCTTCTGAGTGCTGTGATTCAGCTGAGATGCTCACCTTTTCCCGACATGGGATGGAGAAAACAAGGGCCACGAGAATTCCTTTCAGAGAGGAATTCTGTTTGGAAGGAATACCTTGACTTAGATCAGTTGGGGTGAAACTATGAGATTCTCTGAAGTCGTGGGTGTGTATATCATTCTGTGTGGAAGAATTAATTTATGGGCCACATGGAAACGTCTGACACTCCAGGCAAACAGAAGCGGAAGAGGAGGCGGGGG